AAAAAAAAAAAAAAAAAAAAAAAAAAAGAAAGACACCTAAATATATCAGGTCATTAAATGAGTTATTAAGATAGCAATTACATTATATTTGTACTGGATATATGAATAGAGCAATGTAAATTATACTTAGGCAAGTTTCAAGTGAAAATGATAATACTGGAATATTTTGAAGGTGTTTATTTTCTGTCCTTTTCTTATCACCACTGTCTTCAATTTATTCTAATCATCATGGAAGAATGGTGGTCAGAGAGTGGAATCTGGAGAAAGAATCAAGGCTATTGCCTGGAAATCAGAACTCTACCCTACAGGAATTCATGCCACAAAGTTGTATCAAATCACTAAATAGTCACATGTGCACGCACACACACACACACACACACACCGTACCTCAATTTTTAGTGGTTCACTCTGTGATGTGTCCACCACTTAATCTCCCCAGAAGGATGAACCACAGCATTGTTACTGAGTTCCTGGTTCTGGGCCTCACCAAAAACCCTGCACTCCAGGGAATTCTCTTCTTTGTGTTTCTCTTCATCTACCTGGTGGCGTTCCTGGGCAATACACTCATTGTGGTGGCCACCATCTACAACGCCACCTTGCACACCCCCATGTACATTCTCCTTCTGGCTCTGGCCATCGTGGACATTGTCTGCACCACGACCATCATACCAAAGATGCTGTGGGCCATGCTGACATCAAAAAAGACCATTTCTTATGGGGGCTGCATGTCCCAACTCTTCTTCTTCACGTGGTCCCTGGGGGCTGAGATGGTTCTCTTCACCACCATGGCCTATGACCGCTACGTGGCCATCTGCTTCCCCCTCCACTACAGCACCATCATGAACCACTACATGTGTGCAGCCTTGCTCAGCATTGTCATGGCCATTGCAATCACCAATTCCTGGGTGCACACAGGTCTTATCCTGAGGCTGACTTTCTGTGGGCCAAACACGATTGACCACTTCTTCTGTGAGATACCCCCGCTGCTGGCTCTGTCCTGCAGCCCAGTGAGAATCAACGAAGTGATGGTATACGTGGCAGACATCACTCTGGCCGTAGGAGACTTCACCCTCACGTGCATCTCCTATGCCTTCATCATCGCTGCCATCCTCCGCATCCGCACCACAGAAGGCAAGAAGAAGGCCTTCTCCACCTGCTCCTCCCACCTCATAGTGGTGTCCCTGTATTATTCTCCCGTCATCTACACCTACATCCGCCCTGCTTCCAGCTACACATTCGAGAAGGACAAGGTGGTGGCTGCACTCTACACTCTCGTGACACCCACGTTAAACCCCATTGTGTATAGCTTCCGGAACAAAGAGATGCAGACAGGGATTAGGAAGGTGTTCTCAATTCTGAAGCTCTAGTGGCTTCAGGACAGAGTATCTCCTTTCTCCTCTGCAAACATTTATCAGAACATCTCCAATCTGGCAGATCTTTCATCATCATCTCCATCCCCAATTCTACCTTCCTTATTATTTCCTTCCTTTCCTTCCCTGCCTTTTTGCTCTCACTCTTGCTGCAATTCCATATTCCCACATGAACAGTGCAACTAGATCACAATGTGTATCCCACCAGCTTTTAAAAATAAATATCTGCCTTCTAATTATGCATATAGTACATGATTGATAATAAGACCATGTGCACAGCATATGTGCATATACCAAAAATTAAGCATAGCTTTTAATATTGTTGAGTTGACTAGTCTATGAATCAACTCCTGTCTCCAATTTACACAGCAAGAAACTGTATTTTAACATTGTGAAAGAGATTTTTAAGAGAAAGAGTACAGTTTTTCTTGAAACCTATGTTATGTTCAGCTTTTAGCTGCAATATATTTTTAAACCATTCACACATTTTTTTCATACTACTTTGGAAATAATCTAGTTCATTTCATTGTTGCCTGCTTTAGATTTTTTATTCCATGTGTATAAGAACTATGTATTATGGTTGAAAATATTCTATATAATGTGTAAGCCAATTTTTCATTAAATATCTACTGAGCAGCAAGAGAACAAACTCTTCTCCGGCCCCAAGGTGGAAACTCCACACATCTACAAATGTAGGTGTGCAAGCTGCACAAGTTCATAAAGGTCAGAGCAGTGTGCTATAAAGGACTGAATCTGGATTCTGTGGGATGATTTGCTGAAGGATCAAAGAAATGGGAACTTCCCCTCCACCGACTGAATGGTATTGGGAGGTCTGTTTCCTTCAAGTGGAGGGAGAGTTAATCCTTGCTGAACTCTCACTGCAATAAAGATAGTATTTGCCTTAATCAAATGGGAAAGAGGAGCTCAGTCATGTCTAAAGTTGGACAATGCTAAACCTTGTCTGTGATCACATTTATCTATGGACTGGTTTGTACTGGTTTGACTCTATCTTAGTGACCTTTGCTGATACTGATGTTCTGTGAATTCTTATGTCACCTAGACCGCGGCATGATCTTGCTGCTGTCCCAGATCTGTCCAGCACACAGCTGTTGCTTCTTCAACTCATAGTACAGGACATCCTCTCCTATGCTTCTCATTAAAACCTGCATACAAGTCAGATTAAAAACATAAAGTCCATCATTTATAGCACATAATTGTAATTACCCAAACATGCCCCTTCTTGTGAAATTAATTAAAAACTTTATGTAAATACTGAGACCATCATCATTTGAAACACTGAAATTTATTTTCCCAGCTTTCTTGATGTAGAGTTGATGAGTAAAAAAGAAAATATACTTATTATGTACAAAGTGATGTTTAAATGTATTTATGTATTATAAAATAATTAAGTTAATGTACTTAATTAACTTTTATCATTTTATCTTTTCATTGTGGTAAGAACATTTATCATTTACCCTCTTGGTATACAATGCATTTTCAGGTATACAATGCATTATTAATCATTATCATCACATTATGAACTAGATCTCCAAAACTTATTCAATCTGTCAAAACTTAAGTCCACACTTTCCTCTGAGATGCAAGGAAAACTTTTAGAGCCCCTGTAATAATCAAAAAATAAGTGACATACATCCTCATTAAATTCTACAGAGTCATTGTTCCCATTCCAAAAGGGAAGAATAGAAAAATGACAAGGAATAATCACAAGCAAGACTGAAACCAGCAGGGAAAACACTAAATCCTGTAGTTCTGTTTCCCACTCACAGAGTTGCTTGGATGTGAGGCCCCAAGGGCATGGGTTGCTATAACTGTGTGGCTTTGCTGGTTGCAGCCTCAGTAGCCTCTCTTTGGGGATGATTGCGCTCATTGCCTTTTGTTCCACATTTGTAGCATCTCCAGCTTCCCAGGATCCTCACCTTTACTCTCACAGCTTCAAAAATGACTCTGTCAGAACTCCTTTCAGAAACCAAACCCTGCCACACTACCTGACCTCAGATTTTCTCTGAAATATTGGTGGAAATTTCAGTGCCTCCTTAACTGTTGAATTTTGCATGCCTATAAAACCAGCATCATGTGGACAAGGCCAAGGTCCACTGCTAGCTTTAGCCTTACCTTGTAGTGGCTTCCAATAGCCTTAATGGATGGATGCAAGAGAATGAAGCCCAGTGTAAAAGTCTCCTGGGTGGCTGTGTTAGTGCAGGCTCCCCTTGGGACTCTCTTCTCAAAGGAAGATGAAGGAAGGCTACGCTTTCACACCTTCAAGACTCTGATGAGTTTTTGAGATGTCCTCAAGCCTTCTTTCTTATTGTCCTAGTACAAAGTATGTGGCTTCATTTTAATGGTGCTAATCTCCTGAGCAACTGAACCTTATTTGGCAACACCTTAATAATGCCCCTTTCTGAGCAAACTGCACATTTTCTAAATTCCCCTCTTTGCCTCTTACTGTCACAGTGAAATGGGTTAAAGACAGGCAATAACATCCAGGCAGTAAATGTCTGAATGCTGTACTGCCTTGAAATTTCTCCCATCTGAGAAACTAGTCTAACCTTGTTAAGCTTCACCTCCCTCCAAGTCTCAGGTCACAGAGCAGAGGAAACCAAGTGCTTTGACGTAATGTAACCTGGATGGCCTGTAGTCCAGTTCTCATAGTGTCCTGTCTCCATCAGACACGTCATCAGCACACCTTCTGCCATCCACATTTCATCAGCATTCTGATCCTTGCACCAGCACTGCCTACCAAGCTTATTATGCACCAATCTAGGCTTTTTCTAGTCAGGCCCTCCAAACTTTTCAAAATCCCTCCCAATGTTCAACTCCATGGGATTCTGAACCCCATCACCAAGTACAGTGAGAGCAATGACCCTACTTGTGTCAGTTTTTCTCACTGCGGCAAAAAACTAGAGATGATGTGGGGAGTGGCTAAAACTGGACGTGGAGTTGGCTAAAGTTGTGACACAGTCTCTTAACCCACATCACTCCATCACACATGTGGCACTGGAGCAAGGCTGGTCCTGAGAACAAACAGTGCCCGACATGAGCCACATAAACAAGCTACCCCAGCTCTGAGAATGTGTGGCATCCTTGGCTACCATGCAGGCAGGTGTCATGTGACATTACCCTGCCAAATGTATAAACAAATGCATTGCAGTGGTTGAGCAGTTCCTTTCCTCCCATCTGGAGAGAGGGCTCCACCTAACCTCAGCTTTCTGTATTCTGTTTCTTATCTTTATTTCTCCGTCCTTCCCCAAAAAACCTTAGACAGCTGCATGGGATATGACAAGATAATACACTTAAATGAGTTTTGCTTCTAGTTCCACAGGTTTCAGCCACAATTGGCTCTGTTATCAGTTTCTTTAGATAACAGTTTTTGTGGTTATCACATCCACCTCACAATTCACTCTGTTGCTTTTGAAACAAGTTAGTCTGTCATGGCAGGGAGCATGGGACAGAAAAGCTGCTCAGTCCAAGGCTTCTCCTATCTCATCAAGGGCCCAACTTCCCTCTTTGAGAACTCAAGTTCTAAACCCTCCCAGAGCACCTGGTATCCTTTGATACCTAAGCCTGAGGGACACTTACTTGGACATATCACTGATCCAAGAGTGGTGTTTGGGACTTCACATTTCAGTGTGCAGTGGTGGTGTATTTCTCACAACCACCTGGGTACTTACTTTATTCTTCCTTGTGTTGTCCCAGGTAAGTAGTTTCATGTATGACATTCCCTTCCTCTGCTACTGCTACAGCTGCTCCACAGCTGTCCCCTCCCTCCTCTTCCTTCCGTTCCCCCCACTTACTGAGACACAGAGAGGCTCATTCCATTTTCCATGTTCCTTAGATACAGCGCTGGTCCTGGAAATTTGCTAGGAAAACAATCTTCCCTTGGTTGTTTGACCAACCATGAGGATATCTGCCTTGGCCATGTCCCCACATTCCATTATAGCCCTGAGCCCCAGCTGGAGACTTCTGCTGTGGACATTGCTGTCACTCTCATTACCTCTCTGCTCTCCATGTGAAATCTCCCTTCCTCTATACCCTCTTCTCCACCCACTCTGTCTCCTGAAAAACCTAAAACCTCTTTCCTTCTCCCCTGATCTGAAGCCTAAATGCTTAATTTCTTTCATAATACCACTTAGCCACAGTATAAACTTGAGAATGGCTCCCAATGATAGGAAAATGGCACCTTTGATGTTTCCATATTGTGGGACTTGGATAATTATTGCTGGAAATTGCACAAATGGTCTGAGGTACCCTATGTCCAAGCATTCTTTACACTCCATATCCTCCCCACCTCGTGTTCCACGACACATCTCAAATCCGTCTTTCCCTCCCATCTTCACCACTCATGCCAACTCCTCCCTGATGCCCAATCCTACCAACCTCGCTCTCCCCAACACCCACTCCCACACCTGGCCTCCTTCCATGGCTGCTGCAGCCACCGCACAGAGCCTTCTGCCGTTTGGGCACCACCACATAATTCTAACCGTCCTCTCCATTCAAAGCTGCCCCCTAGCTCTAACCCTCCTCCATGCGCTTTTCCCAGCCCTGCTCCACCCCACACCCAGTCCATACTACAGTGTGGCCCTAATCCTTTGCCGCCCACCAAACAGTTTCTGCTCCATGAAGTGTGGGAGTGGAGAGTGTAGCCTGAGTTCTTATTCCTTTCTCTCTGTCAGGCCTCTCCCACATCAGCCAGTATCTGGGCTCGTTCTCCTCTGACCCCACCCACTATATCCAAGAGTTCAAACACCTAACCCAGTCATAGAGCCTCGTGTAGGCTGATTTAACTGTCTTCCTTAGCTTCAATATCTTCCTCCCCAGATGAAGGGGAGTGAGTATATTCTCTGCCCCAGTCTCATGGGGAGGACTGCAGGCACTTTCAGCCTGACTTTCCTGAGGGCCCCAGGACTGTCTCCCAAGGGAATCCATCCTATAACTATCAGGCAGGATCCCAAGACATAGCCAGTTGAGATGCCATGATC